GACTGGGTGGCACCTGACAAGAGCAATACACCCAGATGTAATATACTTTTAAAATTGTGAACAGTTACCCCTGTAAGACACATCATACCACCTGGAGTACAGCTTCTAGACGCAGTCCTTTTTGTACTTAGCCTTATTTACACTTTCAGTCAGAACATCATTTTGCAAAGTGATCTAAATCTCCTCTCCTGCTCCAGCCCCTCCCCACGCCAATCTTCTGCGCGGTCATATCATGCAATCATAATATAGCTGGTAAGATTCATTGCTCAGAGTCTGTGTCCCAACCTGGGATTCTCCAATATACTGGTTGATTTTATTTTTAATTTGTATCCATTTAAATTTACTCTTTGTAATATACAGTCCAGTGGATTGCAATGAATGTGCAGAATCATGTAGCCACCACCACCTCAGTGCTATAGAGAATAATCCATCACCCTAAACTCTCCCCTTTGATGGCCCTCGTAGTCAACTCTTCTCACTCCCTAACCAGTTGTCCACAGCCACTTATCTGTTTTCTAGGAGCCCTGGTGAACTGTTGACTCCAAGGGTGGAGATTCAAACTATAAAGACTTAAAGTCTTAGAAACCTTCCATAGGGACTTTATGAATTTGAATCCACTCAGCGTCAGTGCGTTTGGCTCTGGGGATCTGAGTTCTGACCCTATAGTTTTTCTTCATCGCATTAAAAAAAAACTGTTTATTGTACTTGGGGTGCAAGTTTACAAAGCAAATCCGTTTTCCCTTCAACAACTTATACACTTTTTGTTTCATGACATTGGTTGCAATTCCCTCAATCTAACAGCACTGTTAGGAGCTCTGGTGTCCTAGAAGGTTGGATTTCTAACAGCCAATTCAGATCACCAGCCTCTCTAAGGGAGAAAAGAGATAGCAGTCTCGGACGCTCACAGGGGTAGTTTTACTCTGTCTTAGAGTGTCGCTGCAAGTGAACTTGGTGTGGAGCTAACAGCACTCTTCCCGTTTCCTCTGTGTTGTTGTTGTTGTGTGCCTCCAAGGGGGTTCCGACACAGAGCGGCCCTGAGTCCAAAGAAGGGACAGGCTCTCCCTGTCCCCTTCAGAGGGATGAGCCACTGGAAGCCTCACGGGAGCATTTCCTCCGTAGGTTCCCGTCTCCGGGTTGTCCTTCCTTCTTGCTCCTCCCTGCTTTCTGAGTTTTGTGTCTTGACAAACGCTGTCCCTTTGGCCTCGTGTGGACTGTTCTGAAAAGTATGTTCTCCCCAGACTTACTATTCATGTGATAGGCCTGTCTGTTGTTTAGCTGACAGCTCCCCTCCAGGGTAGGGTCATTTCCAGGTTGGAAGAGGAATAGAGGTTCCATCACTCTATCAAACCACTAAGTCTGGTCCTTTTTAAATTTTTTTTATCATTTTGAATTTTGTTCTCCATCCATCTCCCCACCCCACCCCTCTGTCCAATACCTGCTACTGTCAGCCTGCTCAGAGTGGTTGGTAGTGGTAACGGCATGACCCAGTCTTCTGGTCGCAGAGTGGCGGCGGCTGTAAATCCCGTGGTCCATGAGTCCCTCAGACGAAGTCTTTGTCGAATCTCTGGATGGCTTCACTGTTCTTCAGATGGGGCGAGGCCAATAGTTGTGTGTCAGGTGGCCACTCCTGAGTTTTTAAGACTGCAACTTAAAAAAAAGTAAGCATTAAAATTGTAAATTGGGGCTGCATTGCCTAGTGTATTGCTGTGGACTAAGTCCAGTTCTCACGCTTGGCTGTGGTTTGTTGCACTCTCTAGACCTTGCTCTCCTCGTTTGGGAAATGGGTAAAATCAGCTGCTACCTCATGGGGTGATTGAGAAGATTGGATAAGATGAAAGCCATTAACACAGTGCCTGGCAGATACTGAACAATCATTTAATAATACCACCTAAATGATATTTGTGATCACCATGACTACCATGGTGGACTAGTACTAAAAGAAACCAAAAAAAAACAAAAAACAATGGCGAAGGCTGGGACGTGCCATCTCACAGGGTGGTGATGGCAGAGAGAACACA